ACAAAAAAACCAAAAAAGGAAGAGGCCGAGCCCCCACAAAAACAATAAAAAAAAAAAAAAAAAAAAAAAAAAAAATACAATATAAATAAACTGTAAAGATTAAGTTGTAACTTTGCAACAAACAATATTAGTTAATATAAGAATTCAAACAATTACATTATTTAACATAATATTGCCAATTATAAAAAATTATTTGAAATTATATATAATCTAATAATCAAAATTCATAATTTTGATTGGTTGAATTAATATACATGATTAGTTAGTTCTATTTTAAAATTAATAATAAAAATTATCTCAGATATATTAACAAAATTTTATTTTTACATGATGATTATCAAATAATAAATTTTATTTTAATATAATGTTATACAATCAGAAAAATTAAAACAAAATGTTTGTTTTTCAAAAATTATTTATTTTTCCAAAATTTGTATAAAAAACCATCTTTTAAGCTCTAATAAAAAATTATTTGAACAATTTTATTATTTCTTAAACTATATTCTAGATAAATTTGTCTAAAAAATTAAATTGTATTTGATATTTTTTAAATAAAAAGATAATTTATTAATGATATAAAATATATTTTGCTTATGAAATATATTCTTAAAAAAATATTTTATAAACTTTATTATAAAACTTTTTTTAAAATATTAATAAACTTTTATATATTAAAAATTTAAAGATTATATTTAAAAATTTTTATTATTAAAAATTTTTCAAGATTTTTTAAAATTTTATATGTTTCCAAAACTAAAAAAAATTTTATACTTTATACAAGTCTAAATTTTTATAAGTAAATTATAAAAGTATTATTAATAAAAATTATCATCTTTTATATAAACTAAAATACTGTATTAAGAACTATAAACTTAAAATTAATATTTAAAGATTTTACCAAAAATTTGTAAATAATTTGTTTGATTAAAATTTTTTTTTAAATTTGTTTATTTTTAACTTATAAGTAATATATATTTTTTTTCTTATAATATAAAATTAAATGTTGCTATAATATAATTCTTATTTTCAAATATTATTAAATAAAATTTTATTTAAATATTTTAAACTTTTAAAAAATATAAATTATAAACAAATTTTTAACAATTTTCCAGGCAAATTTGTCTGAAAAAGCTTACAAATTAAGGGATAAACCTCACTAGAGCCTCATCTTATTAGAAACGCTAGCCCTAACCTAAAAGAACTTTAAAGAATTTTTCAATCGTCGCGTGATAGTGAAATTTTGTTGGCGAACCTGAGTAAGATTAACGGTTAGGGTAGGTCTATGTTTTAATAGGATTTTTAAAAATAGTAATAGCAAAATCGCTCAAGAAAAACTTTTTGTTAATGCGCAGACGGTGATTTCTTATGCGAGTTTTTGAGAAATAAACGATTTTTGATAAAACGAACGTTTGTTTTGAACTTTCCTGATCGTGTTACGCTACACCAAATCGTGATTAACAATTGGATAATTTGTCGTCGATCATCATGTGACTGCAAAATTTTGTTGGCGATCCTGGGGTAGTTAACGATAAGTGCAAAATCACTGAACTATTACGTAGTTGGTAAGTGTCCAAAAATTAACTATTTTAAGTACTTATGTAAGTACGTACACTTTTTTCACATTATTCATCGGAACTTTGTGTACGTAATGTGTTTTGAGACAATGAATTGTATATATACTAAAATTTTTAAGAATTTAAATAAATTTTATTAAGCAGGTTTTAACATCTTAAAAAGTGAAAGTTTTTATACAGTGACGCACTTCTAGACCTGATTGTAAGATTTTGATAAAATTTATTCTTTAGGTATAAAATATAAGCTATTTCTATTTGTATCTACATGTATGCAGTGTTTTAAATTTGATATTCTCAGTATTCTCAGTATTCTCAGTATTCACAGTGTTCTCAGTGAACATTTATCAATTTTTATGAACATGAATTATTGCAAATGTTTTCTATTTGAGAACATTTAATAAATTTTCTAATATTAAAAAAAAATTTTGAGAACTTTAAAGGTTCAAAAATGCTTTTTTGAGAACATAAAATCAAATTTAAATTTTAAACATTGCGTGTAGGTACATGTGGTATATAGAAAAATTAATCAGAATGCAAGGTCTGATAAGATTTTACTTCTTTTAAAATTATTTACAGTATCGATTGTTTAACTACCTTTCGTGTTCCAGCAAAAAAAATTCCATGTGAAATTTTGATATAGTATGAATTATTATCCTACTCTAGCACTCAGCACAAGTAAGAAAAACTGTCACTCAAATACTTGATCGAGTCAGATATCAAACAATCATAAATCAAAACTATATATATATAACTAATTCAATCTATGATGGTTTACTACCGACCTGATCAAGTATTTGAGTGTCATGTTTTTGCTTTATTATGTCGAGCATAACCTTAAATCTACCTTACTCTCACCTTAAGTGAGGTTTACTTTTTTTTTATAAAAATTTTTACATGGGTTTGCAAATTAACATCCGTATACAATACACTACATATAAATTAAAAATTTTCCAAAATTATAAATAGGATTAAATCTTCAAAGGAAGTTTAAAATTATTGAATTTAGTAAGAAATTTAATCAATGAAAATTCTGCCATTATAACTCAATTTTTTCATAACATGCTAGGATAGCACAATAAATAAATTCCATATACGGTATATTAAAAATGATGACATCCTACCTTGTTTACATTAAGGAACCTTATAATATTATCACAAAAATTTTTTTTTTATGAATTCTAAAATTAATTTTGCAAAACTTATCAATTAACAATAATCAAGTATTTAAAAGTTCATTAAATTATTACTGATTACGATAAAAACAAAAGTAATAACACCCAACGAAAGTCCTTCAAACTTTGAAAATTGTCTCTGATTACTTGACCCGTTGCTTAATGGAGTAGGTGAAGTAATAGAATTTGTAGAACTACCATTATTTGCATTATTTGCATCACCTGTTATGCTATTAGTCTGTGTTGGAACGATTGGCAAATAAGTTGGGGTTGGTATAGTAGTTGCCGTAGCTTCCTGTGGATTGAAACCCGGGATGGTACCATTTGTTCCACTGATCGTGAAAGAACCAGAGAAATCTGTGAGTGAAGGGTGTTGTGAATCTGTATATTTAAGAAAGCTATGAAAAATCAATTATGAAAAAAGTTATTAAATGCTAGCAGGTGTATTAAGAAATGGAATAGTATAAAAAGATATGACATACTAAAATGATCCTGAGGGACCTAGGCCCTTTGGTACTTTAAAATTATGACGTCGAGCTGTTCCTTTAACATTTTTGGCAATAATTTTAACTTGAAATGATTTATCTGGTCCACCTATATCAATATTAAATTATTAAATATGTCGACATATATGTATAAATAATAATAAGTGTGGAAGCTGAAACTGAAATTGGTTAAAGTTGAGACTTAGGACTCCATTTAAACTTGCCAAATCTACTCATTACAACACATTTATCAAATTAAGCTGAAATGTTAATATCCAATTCTGAAAAAAATTTGGGCCTCTGATCTATATTGATAACACTTTTAGCCCATCTTTCTCATTACCTAACTCAATATAAAAAAATTTTCAAGTTTTGGGAATTTTATAAATGCGTCGTAATGAAAAATCCACTTATACTCTTTTATAACAACTCTAATTCTAAAATCTAACTTAAACCTAAACGAATGACCCGAAAATTTTTAAACTTTCGTATTAAAACAGGCCCAATTCTCAGCATCAGCTTCAGCTGTCAAATGTCAAAGTGAAATAAAAAATTTGATCGATATATACCAGCCATTAAGTAAATGGTTACATGCTTTAAGTCTTGTAACAAAGGTTTTTGTTTACTTTCTCTCCATCTTATTGTTACGGTGGTACTAGCATTCCAAATAACCCCGTTAAAAGGTGTTGTTGTCTCTATGCTTGCGTGAATTACGGAAGCCAAGAATCCTGCGACAAACAGGAGAGTAATAAACTTCATGCTAACGAAAAAATTGGAAAAATGATGACTTCAGGGTCGGTATTGTTGATGAATTTAGTTGGTGATATGTGGATATGTGGATAGCTTAATTTGCTATTCGCAACCTGGCGAAACCACGTTTTAAAAGATTGAAACGATTACAATGAACAAAAAAACAAGAAGGGAATAAAGTTTTTTATCATCGTATCTAGTATTCACAATATGAAACAATAAGGACACGAGATTAGCATATATAAACAATTGTTTTTATATTTAATACATAATAAAGTTGCACAAGGTTGTAATAAGTTATTATAAATTTTGAACAATGAGCCTTTCCTTTTATTGCATAATTTCATATTCACGCTTCTCTTAACTGAATAAAGTTAATAATGGATACTTATTAATCTGTTAATCCATTAAGGATTCCCGTTTATGAAGTATTTGATCAACAATTAGTATATGCACCTCAAATAAGTTAATAATTTGTAATTTAAGCAGCAAATATGAAACCAAAAAAAAATGTCAAACATGTATATATATATATCCGAAATAAACGTTAATAAAGTTAAGCTCATTAATAACATGTGATAGATTATCATATATAACATTCAGAAGTTATATCAAACCAAATTTTCCCCCTTAAATTATTGGTTTGATTTCTATTCGCGAGTAGCCATTCTAATTTGTCACTCGATCCCAGAACTGATAACACTACTACGAAATAAACAAACGGGATTTCCCTCGCTGCATCACGTGGCCACCAGCTGTTCTTAGAATCGTACCATTCTCTTTATAATAATTCCTTTATGTTTTTTCTCTTTTACTACTATCATCTGATAATCGAATTGCTCACCCATGCTACCTCGGTATCCAACTTGTACAGCTGGGCTACCATACTCTTATCTGTCTAGCCTATCTTTCGGGTGGGCGGGCGGGATTAACGAAGAGCTAGACTTGCGTCGAGCTTGCAGCAAAGAAAAAAAGATACCTCCAAATTCATTTACTAACTCCCTTATATACTTTCCACTTATGACCTCATACTTACCCAAATGACGTAACATCATTCCATTTCTCTAACTACTTACATACGCATTACTCAATTACCCACAAACTACATCAACGATCAAATTACTGATCTCGTGACAAATGACTGCCCCGTGACTTCGTTCACGGCATTACATTACTTTGTAAATTATGAATAACGTGATATATCTAAGACCAGTTCTATATACTTATAAATGCCGTGCGATCGGAAGTTTGCGAAATTGATTTTTTAATAAATTAGAATTATGGAGGGAAACTTTTTTGGCTGATTAATAACAATTAATCGATTATTATCGATTAAATTTAATCAATAATAACCGGTGATGTTTATAGTCATCAACAATTAATAACGATTAAAATACTTATCGATATTATCGATTCCTATGAATATCGATAGAAATCTATCTAAATCGATAGCATATACAATAACTATCGATTTTCAATCACAATAACTATCGATTTCTATTCATATTAATTTCTATCATTAGAGATATTGCCAATCGATTAACAACCCTAAATAACCATCAGCCAAAAAATACCCTGATAGTTATACAGGAGAGACCGTTAATGTTATACGACTAATCCGACACCTGGTGTGCAATACATAAAATAATTAAGAGGTAATTCGCGGTTAAAGGGTATAAAACTAGCAAGTTTAATAGTAAAATTACCGGAGGTTATTATGGTTTTTTATAGAGTTGGAATGCAGCTAGCTTACAATGAAAAATTTTTTTTTATGCCAAGTAAACATTTCTTGAGTTTATAATAAAGATTACAAAACAAGTGATTCCGGTTCTAATAGTGTAGAATTATTCAAATTGGTTTGGTAGATCGCGAGTTATTGGCATTTTCTCTTTTATAACTATATGATTTTTACATAATGTCAGAAACTTTCGGCATTCCAACATTATGTAATTCTCCGCCAACTTTTACTATGAAATTTATACCCTTCAACTGCGATCTAACACTTAATTATTTTACCATATCAGACCATTCCGATAGTACATGTTATGATATAATCCAACACCTGGTTTATTATAATAAATCAGGTGGGATTAGTATACATTATTGGACAGACGATGAAAAATAACAGGAAATTGTTCATCGTCTGTCCAATAATAGTGTTATCCGATAGTTTATATGACTGAGAAAGTTTTTTCCGGATATTTTGCAAATTTGATTGCGCAATTTCGTGCAATTCACATGATCATATGAAATGTCGGATAGTACGTAATCATAACATGTACTAGCGGATTGTAAAATAATTAGTTTTTGTGTTGCACACAGGTGTCGGATTAACTGTATACATCAACGGTCTCTACTGTTTCTGTCAGTTATTTTTTTCATGTGTCGAACTAAAACGCTGCCTACCAATCATTATTCGGCAAATTTTTGGATATCAGTAATTTGGCTCAATCGGGCAAATGATTGGCCGCTTCGCAGCACAATTTTTTGCCGAATACATTACCCAGTGTTGGCAATTGGACAATTGGACAATTGGACAATCAACTAATAAATATCATTGGTTGGTCCAATTATCCGATTTATCATCTAATAATATTTTTTAATTTGATTGTCCAATTGCCAACACTGCATTACTGGCGATTATATTACAGATTAGCAACGCTTATATTACAGATTACCAACGATTATATTACATGGGATAGCTCTTTGAGCCATCCCACATGTTATAATCGTTGCTGTTATTCAGGAAATAGATGCTGACTAATGCCGAACATATGAATTGAATATCGTGTCATAAATGACGCTTAGATAGAATTATTAATGTATAAGCGCGAAATAACGCGCAGGCGCGATATTTTGAATAATGGCCTGAATTAAGCTTAATTTAGGCCAAAATTCGAAATTACACCCCTGCGCATTATTTCGCACTTATATAATAATCCACAAAATATTTTAAAATCATTTTATTTAATCTTTATGAGTATATACTTGACTTTACTGTATATATTTTATGGGTTTAACAATCATATGCAAAAATGTCTATTTATGCATTGATTCACAATTCAACATATGTTTGTGAAAAAAGCATTTCATTTAATCTTTATGTTAACATTTTATAGTTCTAAAATCATATGGAATTAGAGTGTAAAAATATCTGTTCACGCATTAATCCATAATTCAACATATGTTTGTACAGTATTTGATGAAAAGTATTTTATTTAAACTGTATGTGTATATACTTAAAATTATTATGCTTTTTTAAATATATTTTATAGATCGAATAATCATATGTAATTAGAGTGTAAAAATGTTTGTTTATGCATTAATTCAAAAAAATAATCACAAAGTAACATACGTTGGTACCGTATTTGATGAATTTAGTCATTTTTGATTTTCAGGAATGTTTCAAACTTTAAAACCACTTTGACTTTCAGCAACATTTTGAATTTATCATTTAGTAAATCAAATTCCGTTTGAAAATATTTTCGGTAGACTTTTAGTTTTAGTAAAACTGACAGTCCAATAAATTCTCAAGATAAAAAGCATCCGTGTATTTGATTTTAAATACCTGTACATTATTTTGAGTACATCATTGATATTATTTTGAAATAAATCAATTTTTCTAATTGTGAAAAGTCTTCATGATTGATATAATAAGGAAAAGGTTTTACAATAATAATATATCCCTTGAACCGTCAATTTGCCTGGAAAACAGTTTAATGGATAGGTTTCTTTTATTGTATTAGTTCTTCACTATTACCTAAAAATCGTCTAAAAATCATATGCACGTTTCAGAGCCAATCTTAGACACATAATCTTGGCATAATGATATCAGTCTTTGATATTTTTTATATTGTACCTCCTTGATGATAAGCATAATGTAAAAAAAAAAAAAGATGCACTATTTTATAGATTTTAATCGTGCTCACAAAATTCTGAATATAGAAATACAATTTGAATATCTTTAAATGATTTGCATCATACGTAGCAAAATTTTTTAAACAATCTTTGCCAAAATTTATTAATACTAACTAACCACAATTATGATACAACTCGAATAACTAAGATTTTTTTTATCTTAGTAGTGTACGATAACGTGCACAACTGTCTTATTAGTAAATGCATTGAATTAAATCGAAATTTACAATTGGCCGTACTCAAAAGAATGAACTAAACATGCAAAAAATAACGATCAAATTACGAAAGAAAAACTTAACAATAATAATAAGTAACGATCAAATTATTTAAGTAGAAAAAGATGTAGTCCAGATAATTTTCCTTATAACATTGAGGGTTTCGGATTTCCTCCGGCCGTGTCAAAGTTTGCATTAATACATATTGGTGTTTTGCGGACTCAAACCAAAACAACCACACTAGTATCACCTGAGTAGGAATGTTAACAGTCTGGTTCGGTCTGGCGTCTATTTTTAGCCCAGTTCGGTCCAGTCTTTTTTGGTTTAATTACGGCTCAGTTCTAAGAACATTTATAGAGCCAATAGTTTAAATTTGTAGTCTGAATTCATAATAAAAACCAATATAAACTAATCTTTAAAATGAAAGCCGTTTGTGGTCCAGACCTTCAGTCTGAATTCATGACTTTAGTTCGGATTTATAAAAAAAGACCTGGTCTTTATAATATACATAAAAACTAGTAATGAACCGGTCTAAATAAATGGTTTTGTGACTAGTCTTAAGACTGGTTTAAGATCACAATCTGGACCTAATAAGATTAGCTTCTTACAGGTTTAGACTAGTCTTATGACAGGTTGCGGTCCATTGGTCCAAGGATAACAATTCTAAATGAGATTAATAAGTTTTAGAGATATAGCTTATTTTTGCTAGGTAGATTCTAAAAAATATTTGGATGCTTTGGATATTTATAGAAACAAGTTTATTAAATAAAGTTAGCTTAGTAGAATTTGGAGGTATCTTGTATTTTTGTTATATTAATATTGGATATTAAATAATAAAAAATATAATAAAAATAAATACCGTATTGTCTCAAAATAACGCCTAAGGGCGTAGTTTGAAATTTTGGCCCGAATTAAGAATCGGGGTAAAATCGCCACCCAAAAAAGTTTCGAACATCACGTGACAATATATCGAGCACTAAAAATTTTATTTAACTTAACAAAAAAAATACAAAAAAAATTTAGACTAACAAAATCATAACGATAAATAATAAATTAATAAATAATAAATTAATCATTTTATGTTTTCGAATAACTCAATAAACATAATATTTATTATAATAAACAAGTATTATTATTACGGTTTTTCTAAGTATTTGGAATATTCCATTGCCTTTTAAAATGGTTGTAATCCTCTAATGATACAAAGTTTTTATTAATACTATCGAGCCATTTGTTACTATATATTTTGTTGCTGCGTCCTGGATTCAAATAAACAATCAGAGTTATTATCTTCGGAAGAGCATTAAAAATAAAATCTACAAGATTTTCTGGTTCAATTGCATTTTCTTGTTTAGATTTTATAATTTTATTTAGATTTCATTCTTTATTCGTTTATTGTTAATGGAAATTAGTCACATATATATATTTTTAGAATAGTATATTTATTGGATTTATTGCTTTTAACGATTGCTTTTCACTTTAAAGAATCGATGAAAAAAAACACTTACTAAATCAATTATGTTAATATTTTAATGTTTATTATTATCATGATCTAATGATGAAACTTTTTTGGGTGGTGATTTTACCCCGGTCGAATTAAGCATAATTAGGCTGGATTTAGATTAACTCGGGCCAAAATTTTAAACTACACCTTAGGCCATTATTTTGAGACAATATGATACTAATATCTAGTTTATATAAAATATATATTTTAAATAAAAATATATAAAAAAAACTTTTATTTAATTAATTAATAGAAATTTAACAGCATATTAAATAGTAGAGATATGTTTACTATATACGTATTTTTATTATTTTTGAAATCTTGCATTTTCTAAAAAACTTTTTTCTTTACTAAGTAAATCACACTTTTTGACTTTTAAGTTAAGTTGTAGAGAAAAGCCTTGCAATTATAATAATAG